CAGAATTGAGTTCCTCTAACAAGGAGAAATCTTTTACTGTGCTTGCATGTACCCACTGAAACTCGTTTTTTTGTTTTTGTTTTTTTTCCCAGCTAGATTCTTCATTTATTTACATGATAATGTTTGGAACTTTATGCCCCAGCCAAATCCTTCTCTTCAATGTTAATTAATATCCTTGTTTACTCTGTGTGTGTGTTTGTGTGTGTGTGCGCGTGCCTGAGCGCGCGTGCACGCATGCATGTTTCACCCTTGGCAGTTTCCTGTCAAGTTATTGTCTTAGTTTTTGCCTCCCAGCATTCTTTTTTGGCCATATACTTAGCATCTAACTATTTCTTTTTTTTTTTTTTTTAACTTTTTTTTTTGGTCCTTTTTTTTTTTTAATGATTTTATTTATTTATTTGACAGACAGAGATCACAAGCAGGCAGAGAGGCAGGCAGAGAGAGAGGACGAAGCAGGCTCCCTGCTGAGCAGAGAGCCCGATGCGGGGCTTGATCCCAGGACCCTGAGATCATGACCTGAGCCGAAGGTAGTGGCTTAACCCACTGAGCCACCCAGGCACCCGTATCTAACTATTTCTTATACAGATAGTACATAAGACTGTATTCAGTAGGGTCCTTGCTATTATCTTTTGAGTTAATAATTATTTGCTGTAAGGCCACATTGATTTTCTTAGGTATCTCCATAAATGTAATTTTAAAACCCTCTTTAATCTGGATTTATTTACTTCCTAACAAAGTGCTGAGCCCTCCCAGATACCTCTTGACTCCTTTCTTTTCCCTACATCCCTAGAGTCACTGGGCCACCTATATGGCTTCTACAATTTTATTTTGACCATATCAATATGCTGCTTAAAAACTTGTAATGACTCACCTTGACTCAGAATAAAATGTGATCTCCTTTGCTTGGGATACCATGCCCTTCCTGATCTGGCATTCATTCCCTTCATGATCCTCATGTAATCCTTCCTACCCTGGGCCCTAGTCATAATACTCACTATTCTCTGCCTCTGCACATGCTTTTCCCTTCACCAGGAACATCTTTCCTTACCCTTTAACTAAACTTAAGGCGTCATTCTTCTCCCTCCTTAGAGTGTGAGTTCTTTCATGGTAGAGCCAAGCGAGGCTGGCAGAGGGCAAGATACACTGTGGACGCTTAACACATGCTTGTGTGATTAGTTCCTGTAATTAATAGTCGCATGGCTGTGGAATTCACCATCAACAGAAAATACCTTATAATGACTACTAATAATGAAGTTGTCATGAAATTCTGGAGTGTTTAAGCTGTGGTATCCCAACATAGGACCTGGTTAGGACCTTGAGGGTATCTGCTTTTAGTAAAGGGAATTGGAGGTTAGGTGAAGGAACACGGTGATCAAACTTGGAGAAGCTCTATGAAATTCAGTAATTTTAAAGGAACATTAGCAGAAAAAAGTTCTAAAATACAATTTTATTTTCTGTTTTCTACCAATTTAACTCTTTCACCAAATTTGTCATGTATTTTATCAGCTAAAGAGCTAGATAATTTGGACATTTAATGTAATCTTAATGTTTTGAGTTGTCTGAGCACCAGTAAAGCCATATGAAAAAATATTTTTATTTTTCAGATATTGGCTGCTAAAATACAAAAATGTCTTACTCCACTACTCTTCCTCCTAAGCCTTCTGAGACACATGGCACAGACACTGGAGGGGGAGAGAGGAAGGCTGAGGCTAAGGAGTGACAAACTGTGAGCAGCATAAACTTCATACATGAGAAATTCTTCCCAAGAAACTAGCCTTTTTAGTGACAATAATTGTCTCTAGACGAATACATACACATTTAAAAGTTCAAGAATTCCACAAACAGAACATTAATACTAGTAGAAGAAGGACTTCTCAATATCCTATAGTTCTAATATTTGCCTCAGGCATTTATTAAAAACTGTTAAATGTTTAAAGATTACACAGAATAATTTCCACTATTTTGTATTTCATACCTGTTTATACCTTTTTTCCACTCCTTCAACCAAAGACACATCGTTTATTTTAACATGTCTAAAATCATAGCAATGACAACAGTAAATAATCGTGAGGATGCCTGGCTGGCTCAGTTGGCAGAATACGTGACTCTTGATCTTGGGGTCATGAGTTTAAGGCCCATGTTGGGTGTAGAGATTATAAAAAAATTCTACACAAATTAAAGAATTGTCAATTTTTTATGTAACATTTTGCACACATTTATGGAAACGACTGATAATCTGTGCTCTTGAGTATATTCCACTATGGATAACTGAATGCATACTTATTTTTGTTTTACAAATTAGGGGCTGAATGATCCGAAACCAGATTTACAGATAGACTTGTCCTTTTCTTGTCCAGAGTATTGCTAGTGTTCTCTCTCCTCTGTCCCGTCCAGGGCATTCCAGAATGGGAGCTCTGGCATTCACCCAGGGCCACAGCAGCCCATTATGCTTTAGAGATTCACGCTTGGGAGGAACATTCAAATAAACTAGGGCAACTGGGAATCAGAGTTTAGGAAATATAGTTTCTTAAGAATAGGTGCACCATCAAACGAAATTCAATAAATGTTCTGTTTGTAATTATATGCCATATTATTAATAAACTTATTTTTTCATGGATGATTACTATTTGTATCTTACATATATGCCACAGTTAATAGTTTGTTGTGTTTGAAATTTAAGTGCCTAAATGTTATTAAAATAAGCCAATACATTTAATTATGTATAAAACAATCATATGAATAACAACTACAAGTATTTTAAGTATTGAAATATTCTCAAATATTTTCAATTAATTTTTCTCCATTTCTAGAAATCTCTTTAATTTCAGAAAATCTGCACAGCCTCCTAGAAACATCCAACTGTTACTGAGATGCCAGAGTATGACAGTAACTTCCTAACTCTACTTTAGATTCTTCTTGGCTGACTAGCATGGTAAAAATGTTTAATGGGTTAGCAGGAATAAGTAATGCCTGTGTGAATAAAAAATTATTGGAATTCGAGCATTTATCCTGATATTCAGTATTATACTAGATACTATAAATGAGGCTTATTAATAACAACAGTAAAAGTTCTAAGCTTTTTAAAAAAATTTTTCAAAAGATTTTGTCAGAGAGAGAGAGAACACATAAGCAGGGAGAGAGGCAGCAGAGGGAGAAGCAGGCTCTCCACTGAGCAAGGAGCCCAATGCTGGACTGAATCCCAGCACCTTGGGATAATGACCTGAGCGGAAGGCAGATGTTTAACTGACTGAGCCATCCAGGTGTCCCAAGTTCCAAACTTTTTATTTTTAGCATTTTATTTAGCTATTGACCAATAACTTCTTGAAAACAAAACAAAAAACAAAGGGGTGCCTGGGTGGCTCAGTTGGTTGTGTCCAAATCTTGATTTCAACTCAAGTCACGATCTTGGGGTTTTGAGATTGCGCCCTGTCAGCTCCATGCTGGGTGTGCGGGCTGCTTAAGATTCTCTCTCCCTCTGCCCCTCCCTTGCACCCCCAGAAAAGTTAAAACTGACTACTGGCAAGTTCTCATAAGCAGGTGATGACAAAAAGTATACTTGATAAATCCCTTTTAAAACATAGCCTGGGTGGCTCAGTCGCTAAATGTCTGCCTTCAGCTCAGGTCGTGATGCCAGGGTCCTGACATAGAGCCCTGGCACCAAGCCCCTGGTCGGGCTCCCTGCTCAGCAGAGTCCTGCTTCTCTCTCTCCCCTGGCCCGTTTCCTCTTGCTGTGTCTCTCTTTGTCAAATAAACGAATAAAATCTCTAAAAATAAGGGGTGCCTGGGTGGCTCAGTAGGTTAAAGCCTCTGCCTTTGGCTCGGATCATGATCCCAGGGTCCTGGGATCAAGCCTTGCATCGGGCTCTCTGCTTGGTGGGGAGCCTGCTTCCCTTCCTTTCTCTCTCTGCCTGCCTCTCTGCCTACCTGTGATCTCTGTCAAATAAATAAATAAATAAAATCTTTTAAAAAAAAAATCTTGCAAAACAAAACAAAACAAAACTTCCCAAAACAGATTTCCAGGGGCTCAGTTGGTTGGGCCTTTGCCTCTTTTTTTTTTTTTTTTAAAGATTTTTTTTATTTGACAGGGAGTTCACACATAGGCAGAGGGGAGGGCGGAAGAAAGGAGGAAGCAGGCTCCCCGCTGAGCAGAGAGCCCGATGTGGGGCTTGATGTGGGGCTCGATCCCAGGACCCCGGGATCATGACCTGAGCCAAAGGCAGAGGCCTTAACCCACTGAGCCACCCAGGCGCCCCTGGCCTTTGCCTCTTGATTTCAGCTCAGGTCCTGATCGCAGGTTTGTGAGATCAAACCCCATGTGGGGCTCTGCACTCTGTGGGAGTCTACCTGAGATTCTCTCTCTTTCTTTGCCTCTGCCTGTCCCCACTGCTCTCTAACTGAAAAATAAACAAAAACTAAAAAACCCCTCAAAACATAGATTTCCAAAAAGTTCTGCAATTCTGAAATGTAGGTTAGTTTAAAAAGGTAATATAAATATAATATTAAATATGAGATTACTAGAACCAGTTAGGTGTTCTTTTGATGTTCCACTATATTCTTAAAAAAACAAACAAACAAAACTTTGCTTTTCCTGATTTCAAAAGAAATACATTCCTTACAGAAAAAAATGGAAAACAAAGAAAAACACAGAAAAGGAAAAAAAAAATCACCAGTAATTAATTGCTCCACCTAGATGGATCTCTACTTATATTTTGGAGGCTATCTTTCTAGTTTTGGTTTTTCCTAGCAACGGCAATTATTTTCTTATTTTGTCCTTGGGCTAGCGTCCTCACATAAAGTTGCGTACAAGGAATCTTACAGAACAGAGATCTAATAAATGGGATATAAAGTAACCTACCTTCCCTTCTACCCTTTTCTTATGATAGAAACAACTTCTAATCTTTTTTGTCATATCTGGAATTGGTATACAAAGTCAGTGACTAAAGAAACACATATTTGTTTTTAGCAAGATAAAAGAAACAGGAAAACCAAAAATATTCAGATAAAAATTTTAATTATCACAGAAATCAAAGTTGTATATGGACACAACTATGTGTCTATACACAACTATGTGTGTGTGTATATACCCATAAGACTATTTACAAATATGTAAACATACATATAAAATCTAGAAAGGAATATATAGAAATATGTGTTAGAGTATCAGGGAGATGTTTCTTTTTTATTAATTTGTAATATACTCAGCAAACCACTACATTGAGGTAGGACTATTTTGACGTTAGAGAATCTTATACAAATGAATTTGTTCAAGAGCTTCTCTGTCAATATGGTTTTCTGGGTATACATTGTAGTTCAGTGGTACCTCTTCAACCCAGGAAGATAACTGTATATTAATCTGGAAGGAAAAAAGATGATAAACATACATGAAAAATGCAGAATCATCCTGTTCTCTGGAACTTCAAGAAATCATGATGAACTAAGTCATTGAAGATGACAGAATTTTTTTTTTTTACAACAAGTAGGACTAAGTTTACATGGTGTCACATGAACAATTCTTTGTTGTACTACATGGTAGGTCTGTGGATTCAGCATTTAATTTACTGTGATTTGGAATTTGAAAGAATAAAGAAAATACAGAATAGAGTATTTTAACGTAACTAGTTTAATAATTATCATTAGGTTTAAACAAATAAAAGACTAAAACAACAAAGAGAATACACAGAGAACAGAGCAAACTGTTCATACATACACAGTGATGGTGTTAAGGGGTTGCATGAGAGGGGCTAATTTTCCTCTAGAAATTAGAGGGCCCTTCCTTTACATTGCCCGCTCTCTCCTTGGCAGGGAGCCTGCTTCCTCCTCTCTCTCTCTCTGCCTGCCTCTCTGCCTACTTGTGATCTCTGTCTGTCAAATAAATAAATTAAATCTTAAAAAAAAAAAAAATAGGAGTCAGCTCCTTAACCGACTGAGCCACCCAGGTGCCCCTTGGGAGACCATATATTTTAAAAGACATATTTTTATAAGCATGAGAAGTATGGTAGGATTATACCACACATGAGATGGCTCTCCTGGACAAGACTTAAGTGGAGGGGATGGGGAGATTAACATCTTTCTTTATATGTCTCAAGATTATTTCCCTTGTTATTACAAATATGAATTACTTTTATAATTTGGATCAACAAAAATTTCTTAAGAAAGTGTTATTGATGGTTCAGTTTTTTTTTTTTTTTTAAGATTTTATTTATTTATCTGATAGAGACAGAGAGAGCAAGAGAGGGAACATAAGCAGGGGGAGTGGGAGAGGGAGAAGCAGGCTTCCCTCCGAGCAGGGAGCCCAGTGCAGGGCTTAGATCCCAGGACCCTGGGATCGTGACCTGAGCTGAAGGCAGATGCTTAACTGACTGACCCACCCAGGAATTCCTGTTCCTTTTGTTACAAGGGGAAAGTTATGATGTGGGTGTTCTAAGCCTCTTGCAAACATTTAGTAGCATTCGTTAACCTAAAACTGTAAGACCCCAGTTGGAAAAACTGGTTGGAGAAGCAAAGGACTCTATATCAAGATAGGAATTACAATTTCAGAGCTCTTGGGGCCAATGAACAAACCACAAACCAGTTCTTAGGCTATAAGTTACTGCTCTTCTTTCTATCATCTGTCACTATATTCAGACAGAACATCTCTAGGATATAGTAAGAGCTATCAGAAGAAAGTAGGAGAAAAGTTTTGACAATAAAAATGCTGGGATAGGGGGTCCTGGATGGCTCAGTCATTTAAGCATCTGCCTTCAGCTCAGGTCATGATCCCAGGGTCCTGGGATCAAGCCCCGCATCAGGCTCCCTGCTCAGTGGGGTCTGCTTCTCCCTCTCCCACTGCCCCCGTGCCTCCCCCTATCACTCTCTCGTGTGTGCACTCGCTCTCTAATAAATAGATAAAATTTTAAAAGAAAAATTCTCGGAAAGAGGTTTACATACCTGAAGGCCTGACAGAGAATCTTCAAGACTTGGTACTGTTACTAATAATGATCCTTGTTTCCTTACATTATGGCTGATATATTCCCAGGCTCTGCAACATATTAAAAATTAATATTTTACGTTTTACCAGACACTGAACACTTTTAAAAAATGAAGATCACAAGAGAAAATGTAGCACAGGCAATACCCAGAAATCCAGATGGGCAAAATGTTTGCCTGCAAGAAATAGGATTGTAGCAACATATTAGAAACTGACAAGTTCTTCAGTTTCTGAAGGGGGTGTTAGCAAAATTGTGATGTTACAACACTGAAGAGATTTAACAAGATGGGGATTTGTGTTACTACGAGGTACTGTTAAGCCAAAACTCAGTTTTCAGAACCAATACACATGTCAAAGCTGGATCAGCAGTTAAAACCCCTTAACTCTTTTGATTTTTTTTGGTTGAGAGAGAGAGAGAGAGAGAGAGAGCATGGTAGGGGAGAGAATCCCAAGCAGGCTCAAAGCCCAGAGCACAGACGAACGTGGAGCTTGATCTCGTGACCCTGAGATCATGACCTGAGCTGAAACCAGGAGTCAGAAGCTTAACCGACTGAGCTACCCAGGTGCTCCTTAAACTCTTGATAAAGTATGTCAAAACTGGTTCTGTGGAATGGAGAAGGGCTAAGCGGTAGAGATGGGGAAGGGTAGTGGAGAAAGGCCCCAAAAACCAGAAGCCAAGCAAAGACTAACAACAGAGCATGATATGTAGATTACATCTTTTAAAATAACACCAAGAGTGAAATTGTACTTTATTCCACTGTCCAAAAAAATTTTTTTTAAAGATTTTATTTATTATGTATTTGACAGAGATCACAAGTAGGCAGAGAGGCAGGCAGAGAGAGGAGGAAGCAGGCTCCCTGCTCGGCAGAGAGCCCGATGCAGGGCTCGATCCCAGGACCCTGGGATCATGACCTGAGCCGAAGGCAGAGGCTTTACCACTTAGCCACCCAGGTGCCCCTGGTTGTCAAAAATATTTAATGGGAAGACTTTTAGGCAACATGGCAACGGCGGAGTTGAGTGGGACCAGCTAGGTTGAAAGCATGATGAAATGCCATGTGTGTTTATACGTACCACAGGGCAGCACCTGCCCAGCTCTAATTCAGTGCAGACACGAGCTGGCTTTCTCTATGTGTGTGTGTTGAGAGTAACCCCCACTACTGGCGGGCAATGGGCAAGCAAAGCAGAGATGAGCAGCCCTTGCAACAGGCAGGTGAGCAGCGCATTTCTTCCCATTACAGCAATGGTTATTAGGGTTAGTATTCTGGAGTTCATTAGGCAAAATGATAACAAATGTTCTTTTCCTCAGGCTAGCTCTAAAATCATGCAGCAGTGCTGGATAATAGTCACTGTGCGTGGGCTAGAGCTATTGTTTTGATGTGGTTCCTTAAAAACAACATATTTCAGAAGTTTATTTAATAAGAAAGAAGAAGCTGACTAAATTGGCGTGGTTGGCCATGACTCTCCGAAAAGCGCTTGCTGCTTCTGGCAAGCTGTCCTTCTGGCAGCTCTAGGTGTTTCACCTACTCAGGAAATGCACTGAGACACCTCTGAAACCAACAATTACTCAACAAATCGGGGGTGTTACTCTCCAATGAGATAGGACTTATTCGGAAGCCTGAGTCTTTCCTGAGTACACATGTCCTATTTTTAGGATATATTTCTGTTTTCTCTTCTAACTCCTATAGCAGTGTCATTCTACTTGTCCCAGATTCTAATTAAGACAAATCCTTGGAGGCTATATGTGGTGGCATCTTTCTTTTTCATTCAGTACAATACAGATTTAACGTATGTAAATGATAACAATTCCAATGTCAGAATGCTTTACTGGGTCTCCTAAACATTCTCCTCTATACTGTCATTCATGGCTATAACCTACCTATATTTCAAATTCATTGTACTAGATTAATTTAGGAGAAATGACTGAACTAACACACGTGGCCAATACCTAGTCACTGAACAATGTAGAGCATGTGAATGATTATACCAAGAAAGCTTTTAAAACAACCCAAACATTCAGTATTTCTGGTGCCAAGTTCACCAGTGACTTTTATCATTCTTCAGCAGTCAAAATCGTTCTATAATGAAACTCCAAAGCCTTTAAGGTGTTTTTCTCTTTTAACTTCTTATACAACATAAACCTGGTAATATTTCATTCTCCAAAAATTATTTAATGTTTTGGCTACTGGTCATTAACTTAAAAAGGTGAAAAGCTAATCATACTTTGTCCACTGGAAATTAAGCTTAAAGAGGGCTGTGATTAAGACAACTTTGCTCATGTTGTGTTTTTGGTCTTCAGCCTGTGACCAAAAATTGTCCCCTATTCTGGCTGAGCTTTGATTATGTGATTAGCTTTCTTTTGAACTAGTTTCTTTTTTTTTTTTAAGATTTAAAAAAAAATTTTTATTTATTTGACAGAGATCACAAGTAGGCAGAGAGGAAGCGGGGGGTGGGGGGGAGCAGGTTCCCCGCTGAGCAGAGAGCCTGATGCAGGGCTCTGTCCCAGGACTCTGGGATCATGACCTGAGCCGAAGGCAGAGGTTCTAACCCAGTGAACCACCCAGGCGCGCCTTGAACTAGTTTCTTTTTAAAATATTTAAGCTGTTAATTTCATAGTGACCTTAACCTACTAGTAATGGGTATGGCATGTGTGTGTGTATGTGTGTGAGACAGAGAGTTGGGGGCAAGGGAGAACATAGAAGGTAAAAGGGTGGCAAGATAAAGAGGTTTCGCCATTCAGGATTTCACTGTGTATTAACTATTTATGGTCTATAATTATATGTGTTTTTATTTTTCTGCAGTATAAACCTTACTGATGCACTAATCCAAACATTTGTGTAATTTCATTTCATACGTATGGAAAGGGAGTTTTCCTTCAATTAGAGTACACATATGTCATTATGTTTAAAAAAAAAAAAAGTCAGGATTCCTAACTAGCTAGAAAATCAATGTCTCAGACTATGGACCACAGGAATTTTCTAATTAGAGGGACTGACTGGTCCTGAGCATCAAACTGTGACAGAGAAGTAAAAAAAAGAGATCACAGATATGCTAACTTTTCTATTCCCTGAAAAGAAATAGTTTTAGGAACTATAAACAGTTTTAGGAACCTATGATTACCACCTTAAAAATACTTTTAACGTTTGACAACTAATCACTATTTTGGTTAATATTCTTATATCTTCTATCACTTATAGAAATTAATTCCCAAAATTTCGTGATAGGATAGCATATGACACGTTTTTTCAAAAAAAAAAAAACTAAAATGGAGACAGAAAACAGTAAGTATAAATGCCTATCAGGAATGGTTATCTTATTGCATCCCTGATTGCTAAGCAAATGCTTGGGTCATGATATCATTTAATATGTACCCCCCATTAGATGTAATATTTTACAAAGTTAGACAAAGTTTATTTTTGTTTTATGCGTAATACATTTCCTTATTAACATAATCTTGTTGAGGTTATTTTTAAAAAGTTAAATATGAAAATATTTCTACTTTACCAATCCCTTTTTTAAAAACAAAGATATTTAGTAATCTCTATACCCAATGTGGGACTTGTACTCACAACCCCAAGATCAAGTCACATGCTTTACCAACTGAGCCAGCCAGGCACCCCACTAATCCCTTTTCATACTTTGCTGAACATATTTTAACAGCCTTTTTGTTTGAATAAATAACATACCTGGCCTGTTCTGCCTCATCAAGAAAATATTCGAAGACATTATTCATGATAATAACATCAGCATTTTGCAGAAGTGAACCCTGGGTACAGATGTCCGCATGAAGCACCTAAAGAAGAGTGAGTTCACTTGAGAAAACAAAGATAGCCACAGAAGATATAGCTATGGGTTCAAAGACACGAGGCAATACAAGAAGTTAACCATAATTACAGTGGGAGAAAGAACAGTCTATTTAATAGTATCACCTGTGGGAAATACTTAGTATCTAATTAAAAACCATAAACTTGTGAAAATTTGTTTTAGATAGATTTATTTACATAGTCATATAATTATAGTCTTTCGATCCCCAGTTCGGAGCTTTTTCCACTATGACTATATGATTAATTTTAAGAGACAAAGGCCCTAGGTTCAAACTCCGGCTCCATCATCAACTGCGTCTGTACAGTTTGGCAGTCGGTGTCCTCATGAGTAAAATGGAATAGTATCTGTCCTGATTCACAGAATCCAATGGGATCATATCAAATCTATAAAAGTAATTTATATATTATAAAATGTTAATATGATATTTTTATTGGCTTTGACTTTTCGTCTAAAATTTACTTGATTCATTTATCCAAAGAAGCAAATAAAACAATTTACTTAAAAATTATATGCTTCATACCCAAAACTTAGCCAAAGAGGTGAAAGACCTGTACTCTCAAAAGTATAAAACACTGGGGCGCCTGGGTGGCTCAGTGGGTTAAAACCTCTGCCTTCGGCTCTGGTCATGATCCCAGGCTCCTGGGATCCAGCCCCGCATCAGGCTCTCTGCTCCGCAGGGAGCCTGCTTCCTCCTCTCTCTCTCTCTGCCTGTCTCTCTGCCTACTTGTGATCTCTGTCTGTCAAATAAATAAATAAAATCTTTAAAAAAAAAAAGTATAAAACACTGATGAAAGAAACTGAAGATGACACAATGAAATGGAAAGACATCTCATGCTCATGGACTGGAATAACAGATATTGTAACAAAGTCTATACTACCCAAACCAATGGACAGATTTAATGCAATCCCTATCAAAATACCAACTGCATTTTTCACAGAACTAGAAAAAGCCAATCCTAAAATTTGTATGGAACCACAGAAGATCCCAAATAGACGAAGTAATCTTAAAAAAGAAAAACAAAACTGGAGGCATCACAATTTCAGATTTCAATTTAGATTACAAAGCTGTAGTTATCAAAGCAGTATGGCACTGGCATAAAAACAGATCCACAGATCAATGGAATAGAACAGAAAACTAAGAAATAAGCCCACAATTATACAGTCAATTAATCTTTGACAAAAGAGGCAAGAATACACAACAGGAAAAAGACAGTCTCTTTAACAAATGGCTCTGGGAAAACTGATCAGCCACAAGCAAAAGAATGAAACTGGACCACTTTCTCACACGATGAATGGAAATAAACTCAAAAGGGAGTAAAGACCTAAATATGAGACCTGAAACCGTTAAAATCCTGGAAGAGATCACAGACAATAATTTCTCTCACATTGGCCACAACAACATCTTTCTAAATAGGTTCCCTGAAGCAAGGGAAACAAAAGCAAAAGTAAACTATGGGGACTATATAAAAATAAAAAGCTTCTGCACAGCAAAGGCAACAATCAACCCAACTAAAAGACAAGCTCCTGAATGAGAGATGACATCTGCAAATGACCTATGTGATGAAGGGTTGGTATCCAAAATATATAAAGAATTTGTACAACTCAACACAAAACCCCAAATAATCCAATTTAAAAATGGGCAGAAGACATGAACAGACATTCCTCTGAACAAGATACACAGTCAACAGACACATAAGAAGATGATCAACATCACTCATCATCAGGGAAATGCAAATTAAGACTACAATGAGGTATCATTTCACACTGGTGAGAATGGCTAAAAACAAAATCACAGGAAACAAGTGTTGATGGGGATGTAGAGAAAAAGGAACCCTCTTGCATTGTTGGTGGGAATGCAAACTGGTGCAGCCGCTGTGGAACACAGTATGGAGGTTCCTCAAAAAGCTAAAAACAGAATGACCCTATATATCTGGCAATTGTACTACTGGGTATTTATCCCCAAAATACAAAAAACACTAATTGAAAGGGATACATGCACCCCTATATATACTGAAGCATTATTTACAATAGCCAAATTATGGAAGCAGCCCAAGGGTCCTTCAACAAATGAATGAATATAGATGTGGTACCTCTATCTATCTATCCATCCATCCAATCATCCATCCATCCAGGGATATTCAGCCATAAAAAAGAATGAAATCTTGCCATTTGCAATGACAAGATAGAGCTAGAGTGTATAATGCTAAGTGAAATAAACCAATCAGAAAGACAAACACCATATGATTTCACCCATATTTATTTATGAGTGGAATTTAAGAAAATAAAACAAGCAAAGGAGAGAAATATAAAAAAAAGTAGAGAGAGACAAACCAAGAAACAGACTCTTGGCTGTAGAGAACAAACTGATGGTTACCAGAGGGGAGGTGGGTGGGGGAGTGGGTGAAACAGACGATGGGGATGAAAGAGTGCACTTATGATGAGCACGAGTAATGTGCAGAACTAATGTGCAGAACTGCTGATTCACTGTATCGTACAACTGAAATATAACACTGTATGTCAACTACGTAGGAATTAACATAAAAACTTAATAACAAAAAATTGAAACTATATACCTCAAAAAAATTAACTTGACCACAATCCACAAGTCTTACAGAGCATAAGCAACGTAACAAGAGAAATCATTTATTTTCTCAAGTGCAAAACAAACCACTTTTATTTTAAAAGGAAGAGAAAAAGTTTATTTTGTATTAGAGGATTTCTTTGGTCTTACAAATAAACAGTATTCAGAATGTTGTGGGGTCTGATTCTTAACATATTTTATTCTCTTTTTTAAGTAGGAAAAATACTAAGATAATTTACATTAAGTGGGCCTCTAGTTTCTGAAACACACCTTTAACATGTTCCTGAACACACAGAAAACAATCACTTTAATAAACTTTCTAAACATGCTGCTGAGATATGAAATAGGCATGCAAATTAACCTACTGATATACCAGTTTCCTCTTTTTCTTTCCCATCTCTGTTCACTCTCCCACACCCCACCCCACAGATACGGTAAAAAAAAAGAATAAATTATTAAATTAAATTAAATTAAATTAATTATGGCAACCAAGAGAGGTCCCATGGAAACCCCCCAAAATGGCTCTGGACAAACTGGAATGCTAATAATGCAAAGGCTGCATGGTAACCAAAATCAATTCAACCAATTTTTTTTTTTAAGATTTATTTATTTATTTGGCAGAGAGAGAGAGAGATAACAAGCAGGGGGAGCAACAGAGGGAGAGGGAGAAGCAGGCTCCCCACCGAGCAGGGAGCCTGATGTGGGACTTGATCCCAGGATCCTGGGATCATGATCTGAGGCGAAGGCAGACACTTAACTGACTGAGCCACCCAGGTGCTCCTAACCAATTTCTTTTTTTTTTTTTTTAAGATTTTTATTTATTTATTTGACACACAGAGAGAGAGAGAGATCACAAGTAGGCAGAGAGGCAGGGAGAGAGGGGGAGGCAGGCTCCCCGCTGAGCAGAGAGCCTGATGTGGGGCTTGATCCCAGGACCCTGAGACCATGACCTGAGCTGAAGGCAGAGGCTTAAGCCATTGAGCCACCCAGGCGCCCCTCCTAACCAATTTCTAATGGGTACCTCCTATATACAAGATACTCTGGAGGGTGACACACCATGAGGAATGAGATACAATACCTACACTCAAACACATTATATTCTAGTAATGGGATGAAACAGCTATGGTGGTAACTCTAAGTGCCATCAAAGGAATAAGAGAGATATGAATAAAGAATAAACAAAATAATGAATAAAGAAAAATAAAGAATTTAAGCCAATGGGTCTTTCATGTAAAGATAGCGCATAAGACACATGGCATGTACGCATACACTTTCCTGAAACCTCATTATAAAAACAGTACAGGGTTTTTAGAAAAGAACGTATATACCCACAAGGATGGGGGGAATGGGAAAGGAAATAACAGAGATAAAATTTTGTAAGTTAGGGAAAAAAGAGGAACTAATAAGAAATTTATGAGACCAGAAAAATCTGATTTTTAAGCTAGACAGATAGAAAGCTAAGATCCAGGCTTGACTTATACTACAGAATCTCAAAAAGGTTCACAATTGATGGCACCAGCTATTTCTGGGTGAAGGAGTAGGGAGAAATGCTAAAAATAAGGTAACTGGGTTGAAAGTCAGTTTTAGAAGTACCCAGACTACCATAGGACTTTCTTATACGCCAGCAAAAGAATAGAGGTTTATTCTCTGGGAAGGGTAAAACAAAGGTGTCTGGGTCAGGGGAAAGCAGGACTAGTTGAAAGAAAGGCTAATGTCCTGAAAACAAGGGTAGTAAGGCAGACAGGATGTTGTAAATCCCTTACGTTTCACTTCTTCTCCTCTACCCCTCCGTCTGCAGGATGCTGTTGGCCACTCAGTAAGGAGCCTGGAGAGGTTTTCTCTGGGCAATCAGACCAGCCCAAGAGGAAAGATCTTAATATACTTCATCAGATACTCGCCAACTAATTAACCAGCCAAGCAAGATCACTCAACAGTAAAGCCCCAATGCTCAGAATCCCCACTTCAGTGCTGAGAACTTCAATTAGCTTTTTTGTTTCTCACTCTTAAGTCTGAATGGACAGCGAAGGATCTCTAGACTTCTGAGGAAAGTCCTATTAAAGAAGACCAAACAGGAACAAAAATAAAACAAAAAGCAGAGCCCAAGACTTAAAGCTACCTAGATTTCAAGATAAAAATAACCTGTATTTCAATGGCTATCAGACACATGAAAAAATGTTCATCATCACTAGCCATCAGGGAGATTCAAATTAAAACCACATTGAGATATCACCTTACACCAGTTAGAATGGCCAAAATTAGCAAGACAGGAAACAACATGTGTTGGAGAGGATGTGGAGAAAGGGGAACCCTCTTACACTGTTGGTGGGAATGCAAGTTGGTGCAGCCACTTTGGAGAACAGTGTGGAGATTCCTCAAGAAATTAAAAATAGAGCTTCCCTATGACCCTGAAGTTGCACTACTGGGTATTTACCCCAAAGATACAGATGTAGTGAAAAGAAGGGCCATCTGTACCCCAATGTTTATAGCAGCAATGGCCACGGTTGCCAAACTGTGGAAAGAACCAAGATGCCCTTCAACGGACGAATGGCTAAAGAAGATGTGGTCCATATACACTATGGAGTATTATGCCTCCATCAGAAAGGTTGAATAACCCAACTTTTGTAGCAACATGGATGGGAATGGAAGAGATTATGCTGAGTGAAATAAGTCAAGCAGAGAGAGTCAATTATCATATGGTTTCACTTATTTGTGGAGCATAAAAAATAGCATGGAGGACAAGGGGAGTTAGAGAGGAGAAGGGAGTTGGGGGAAATTGGAAGGGGAGGTGAACCATGAGAGACTACGGCTCTGAAAAACAATCTGAGGGGTTTGAAGCGGCGGGGTGTGGGAGGTTGGGGGAACCAGGTGGTGAATATTGGAGAAGGCACGGATTGCATGGAGCACTGGGTGTGGTGCAAAAACAAGGAATACTGTTATGCTGAAAAAAAATAAAATAAAAAAAAAATAACCTGTATTTCTATAAATTTATTTAAATTTAAAAATATGATAAATTTCAAAATAACCTAAAAAAACCCCAAACAAACAAACCCTAGAATTCCTTTCTGTTGATCTTAGGGCCTCTCAAACACAACTGTCTTTACCATCCAGGAAGGAAACTGTAAAGGTTGCCAATGAAATGGTATACAAACAGCTTTCTGTCATTGGTTTACTAACAGCCACCGGAGCCGCAGAAGTATGTGGGGTGGGAACTCATCCACATATGCTCCGTTGAAAAGCTAGGGGTAAAAAATCTTTTAATGTGTAAATAAATGTGTTTAACATACCTTTATCATCTCCTTCCTTTCTTTCTTTCTTTCTTTCTTTCTTTCTTTCTTTCTTTCTTTCTTTCTTTCTTTCTTTTTAAAGATTTTATTTATTTGACAGAGAGAGAGAGGTCACAAGTAGGCAGAGAAACAGGCAGAGAGAGAGGGGAAGCGGGCTCCCTGCTCAGCAGGGAGCCCGATGCAGGACTCGATCCCAGAACCCTGAGATCATGACCTGAGCCGAAGGCAGAGGCTTAACCCACTGAGCCACCCAGGCGCCCCCTTTATCATCTTCTTTAAAAAAATAAAATAAAAATAAGGTACTTGGATCTCCATTTATTTATTAAAAGATTTATTTATTTTAGAGAGAGAGAACACGCATGGTGGGGTGGGGATAGAGCGAGAAGGAGAATCGCAAGCAGACTCCCTGCTGAGTGCTGAGCCCCGCGCAGGGCCCATCCCACAACCCTGATATTGTGACCTGAGCCAAATCAAGAGTCGGACACTCAACCAACGAAGCCACCCTGGCACCCCTTGACTGTCCATTTATAAACTAGGATTCTTAAGAGGTCAATTTTTAAATCTTAACTTTCAATTAAATCAACATTTCTGTTATGTGATTCTTATTATGCAAGAACAATGTGTTTCTGTTCACTAAATTGGGATGGTGAGAAAAATCCATGAATTTATTACTGGATGATAAATCTGCTTTAATCATTTGCCTCTCTATTTCTAAGATGAGAGAGAGACAAAGAGAGGGGGGAAAAAAGGAAGTTTGGAAGGAAGAAAAAAAACATTTCCTTCGATAAAAAAGGGGAGGACTAGATCCTTAATCTTAACGAGATGTCTTGCAACACCTTAACACAAGAGAGCCTTAGGTGCTGCCTATCTCCCCGCATTGCCATTAGAAGTGTAGGATCATCATGAAAGGATAAGAATTACTGCATTAACCAAAAAACTTCCTTTTCCCTTTCTGGTTATTTTTGCCCTTACATATAGAGAAAGAGCGAAGTTCTGTTATGGCCCAACCAGGCCATCATTCCACCTGAACTGCCATTCTGTGACATCCACAGCTCTTCCTGGAAACTTAAGAAAAAGAAGATAAAGTACTGAGAGTATTACTTAACCTTTTTGTTTACTTTCATTAAGAGAGTTTCATTAAGTACACTTTTGACTTACATCTGGAGATTAATGCTGCTACCCAAACTATACTATAGAGGAGATGAAGGAAATTAAGAAAAATTCTACTTTCTAATGAAACTGGGAAGAGAAATAGGAGTAGAAGGTAATTATAATTAAATTCACCTTTATTGTTTTAAAGTACTAAGTCAACTCAATGTTCTACACAGCAGCAACCAAGAATAGATCCGAAAAGATTTTCCAACTCTAATTCAGAAGAAACTTGGCTAAATGATGCTGTAAAATAGATAACAGAATATATATTTAAAAGGGTACCTTTAGTACAGCATAGGAAACATAGCCAATGATATTGTAATAGCATTGTAGGGTGACAGATGGTAGCTACACTCATGGTAAGCATTGTGTAACATAAAGACTTACCAAATGACCATGTTGTACACCTGAAACTAATATAACATTGTGTCTCAACTGTACTTCATTAGTAAAGAAATACATAAATAAAAGGGTACCTTTATTCTGTCAGTGAACTGGTATTTTTTTATGACCATTTCCTGCAACTGGCAAAAGTCTCCATTCAATTCTACTCCATATAGTTGCAGGGCTGAACTGTAAAGATAACCCTGAAAAAAATGAAGACATGACGCAAATGAATGAACTGTGAGTTCATTTCTATACCAAATTTTAAAAAATCAAACTTAAAAAAAAATGGAACTCAATAAAGTAAAAATAAAATGAAAGATAAATAACGTGTAATATATGTAGAACTTACAACTTCAAGAATTTAAAGATTCTTACTGATTAAAACCTTAATTGTAGTTTGTCAATTTCCATTATTTAAATGTAATTATATTCTGAAAGACTGATTTACTTTTCCTGATAAAACTGTGCATTAAGTAATGCTGGAAATGAGAGAAGTAATCACATACAGATTCTCTGTTTAATAGTCTATTCCTGTAATTTCTTGGGAAGATACAGCAGGGGAAAGCAAGACAGGCATTCACCCATGGGGGATATAATGGAAAATCATGCACAGTCTGACACTAGAGGAAGGCGGCCAGAGATACGTCCTGTTTGGCTTAGGGAAGTCAATCTGGCATCTGTCTAGTATTAACCACCAATTAGTTAACAAGGATTATCAAGAACTGACTAGATATTATTATGTATCCACAAAAAAGTAGTACGGATGGAAAGGTCGAGTCATATTCTGAGTATTACTTTACATCAAGTAACACCCACGTGTGAACCAAATTTGCATTTACAGCTTGTGATAGATTTTTAGAATCTGTTCAACAGAGTGTAAGTAGGTACTCAAAAATTTTTTGTTGACTGAATCAGTAACCATTTTAATATGGAGGAAAAATGAGAGAGACTATGTTTAAATTTCTTAACGCTGCCACGTAATGGCATAGCTGGGTTTCTTTCAACTATGTACTTTTTTTTTTTTTTAGATTTTTTTTTTTATTGATTTATTCAACAGAGAGAGAGAGAGAGATCACAAGTAGGCAGAGAAGCAGGCAGAGAGAGAGGGGGAAGCAGGCTCCCTGCTGTGCAGAGAGCCTGATGTGGGGCTCGATCCCAGGACCCCAAGATCATGACCTGAGCTGAAGGCAGAGGCTTAACCCACTGAGCCACCCAGGCGCCCCTCAACTATGTGCTTTTCTAACAAATCAAAAAATGGACAAGAGTGGAGCAAATATGGTAAATAATCATAATCTCTAATGTCTTCCAAAAAAGCCATTTGACAAACTGTATTTTCTATTATGGATATTGTTTCTAATTATAGAATGAAAGCCTTAATGCTGATAAATAAACTAAGCACTAAAGAGTTAAGTGTTTCTGTTTAGAGCAGGCGATGGATGCCGGAACTGAGAGTTTCTGGCCTGGGCCTCTACTGCTGTTGGCCACATGTTTTAACAAGTCTGCTAATGACTACCAGAAACCACATTTAAGTTTTTTGATAAAACCATTTAGGAATGTCACAAATACTCTTTGATTTGAATTTTTTTTTTTTTAAAGCCACATTGAAGTGATATTTCAGACACAAATGTCTACATTCAAAATTGAATCACAGAAAATTGGACCAAGATGAGTCCTTGGGTATCATTTAGTTTATTTACAGGTGAGGAACGTGAAGCCAGGAGTATTAAACGACTTTGTTATGGCTGTATGCAATTTCCTAGGTCAAGTAAACTTTATGAGAGCTTTTTTTAAAAGATCTTACCAAAGCTATATTCACTTACCAAAGTGTATAAAGTACAATATATAACATATAGCACAAAGAAAACAGAGTTAGGAGGTCAACAGTGACTGACAAAATAACAAAAGTGTTTTGAGGTCACCTGCTTTGCTGATAGTCCTTCATTCGTGTCACAGAGACAAACCAGTAAAGGAAATCAGAGAGCCGGCCTTTGAAATTCCAAATTCAGTATCATATTTTAACCTTATTATTCTGATACTCTAATAAATAAAGCCAAGCTGTCACCTTGGATGGTGGCAGGCAAAACTGTTGCTAGCAGGAGGAGAAAGTATTTTCCAAATGTTGAATATGTCCACAAGCTGGACTTTACCCCATAAAGGACTGTGCCGAGCCTGGAGCCAACGTCAACCAAGACCTTTCCCGACAGATCAGGGAGTACATGATGATAAATGAACTTCAATTCCATGAGGGAGAAGGAATGAGAAATAAATCCTGGAGAATTAGAACAGCATAAACATCAAATTGTCAAATTTTGGTTGGGTACTAAACATTCGATTCTGTATTTCTAATTCTTTTATCCATATTTATAATGTCTATTTCATGTTTTTCTCTTCCAAACCAATGAAAGGTATTCGGAGACTATTTAGAAAAAATTAATGTGATAATTTCGCACTCATTCACTCTGAGCTATATTAGAGAAGAATAACCATGAGGTCTCTCACATTTATTTTTTATTTTTCAAGATTTATTTATTTATTTCAGACCTGGGCTGAAACCAAGGGTCAGACAACTAACTAACTGTGCCACCCAGGAGCCCCAACGTCTCTGACATTTAAAAGGCCTCTAGGGAATAGCTACCCAGCAATGTGTCCCTATCACTATGCCCCTCACGTCCTTCTTGCTGTTGATTAGAAGGTCCTTGGTTTTTCCCTTTCTTTCCCTATGACTGTTATTCCATGGGATGCTCCCTAACTCCCATATCATCTGGCTTTCTCACCTTACCCCAGAGCAACCACAGAATACCCCCTTACCACTGCATGTAGACTACCAAATGAATGACCATCTCTGGAGTTGAGCAACGTGGCAGCCCTGACCAACCTAAAATGTGTTCTGGAGTATAGGAAAGGGTGGTATGAAAGGAAGTGGAGGTACGCCCACCAATCATTCTTATTTCCTTTAGCTTAACTGTTACAATTTTTAATTGCTACAAGCTTCCTAGACCAAATCAAATTATCTGGGAGAGCCTGAGTATATTTTTTAAAGACTTACAATATTATGTCCTACTTAATTTAATGGTCAGGAAGGAGAGAAACTTTGGCCATAACTAAGAGATGATGGCAAAGAAAATGGAAGCATGCAGGCTAATCTCTTGGAAGAAAATAAAGGGTGTGACTGGGGATGGGGGTGGGCTTTGACCACCACAGACTTATCCGCCTAGAATCCTCATCCTCCCTACTCCCTGTCACATTAGTGCTTCAGCCTTACATTAAAGTGATCATTAGTGTCTTATAGCTAGATAAGCTCCTTATCATATGAGGAAGGAGAGTTCCACTGATGCTAGCTTTTTCAGGTTCACCGTGGTTGCATGGGCTGGCCTGCATACCCAGTCACTATTTACAATCTGATTTCTATGGGGAAATGCATCCTAACTTTCAAATTTTTATTTGTCAAACATATCTCTTCTTTAAGCTTCTGTAACTCAGGGGCACCTGGATGGCTCAGGGGGTTGAACGTCCAACTCTTGATTTTGGCTCAAGTCAGGATCTCAGGGTCATGGGACTGACGCCCAAGTCAGGCTCTTCACTCAGTGGGGAATGTGTTGGAGATTGTCTCTCTCCTTCTGCCCCTCCCCATCCCTAAAATAAATAAATCTTAAAAAAAAAAAACCTCCTGTAAATCAGATCTGATATGGTATTATAGTTATAATTCACTTTTTAGTTTTCCTTCTATTGTTCTTATCTAAGTCCTTTTCTATTCTGTGAATTTCAACCACCTCATGTGGAAACTGTAAGTACTATCTAAAGACAGAATCTTAAACAAGTAAATCAGGAAAGTTTAATCCCCAATTATAATAGAGATACAATATATTTGTATTAGCAGCATATTGCAAATTTGGTAGCACTTAACTTTTGACAATGATGTTATTTAAGATCAGTAATAGGAACATAAGATTACTTACCTGGAGAGGTAGGACACTATAAGCAATAACTCCATATCTAAGTGACCAGGAAGACTGAAATAGTGTATCTAAAGTAACAGCCTAGGGGCACCTGGGTAGCTCAATGGGTTAAGCCACTGCCTTTGGCTCAGGTCATAATCTTAGGGTCCTGGGATTGGGCACCACATGGGGCTCTCTGCTCAGCAGGGAGCCTGCTTCTCCCTCTCTCTCTGCCTGCCTCTCTGCCTGCTTGTGATCTCTCTCTCTCTGTCAAATAAATAAATAAAATCTTTAAAAAAATAAAGTAATAGCCTAGATGATCATATCCAATTTGAACGCCGAATATATAAATATATATATATATATATGTATATATATATATATATTTAAAAGATTTATTTATTTGAAAGAGAGAGACAGAGCGCGTGCACGAGTAGTAGGGAGGGCCAGAGGGAGAGGGAGAGAGAATCTTAAGCAGACTCCCTGCTAAATGTGGAGCCTGATGCAGGGCTCGATCCCACAACCCTGAGACCATGACCTGGGCTGAAATCAAGAGTCTGACCCTCAAATGACTGAGCCACCCAGGCACCCCTTAACAAAGAGTTAACATATTTGCAGCATGAGGTCAGTCTAGTTTCCCATTTGGGACCCAGGTGCTGCATCTGAGGGGCAGAGATGCAGGAGACCTTTTGTCACTAGAGTTGTCCTCTGTTATGGATGGGAGATATTCTACTAGGTCAAATCAAGGCCTGGATAGACCTTTCTCAAGACTATCTCTGGCCTCTGAATCCGTGCCTACCCAACAGTATCTGCCTTCTTAAGTAGAGGCTTTTATTGGGACATTTCAGCTCCCTTGCAGTTATAGTTCTCATTCTAAGTGAACCAGTATTGTGGTTTAACTCTGAATCTCTCTGACATAAGGAAAGTATAAGTTGGTTTCCCTAAACGCAGTCACTTGTGATTAGTTTCTGGACCTGAAAAGACACCTCTGATTAAACAGTTTCTGTGAAAAGCAGAGCTGCTTTCCTTGGCGACATCCCCTGGCCCAGCTTCCCCAGACAATACTGCACTTTGGTCTCCCTAACCTCAATAATTGGTAATGGCTACGCTGCATGGTTGGCCTTTTCCTTTCAAAAAACTCTGAATGACTTGGTCAAGAATTTGTGTTCTGGTGACATGTATATGCACAGTCGCCAGGTTTGCATACTCGAGGGCCTACCTAAAGGAGCCGTCTGATGTGAGCCACACACCATGCAGTAGTTTCTGCTCATTTTTCCTTCCTCACATAATGAATCAATAAAGTCTTCATCATAAAGGAATGCATCAACGTGAACTGTGGGTTCTGGCTGCTGCCGTATCTGGTGGAGAGAAGAACTTCAAAAGAAACGAAGTACAAAGGAGTCTCTTTTCATTGCTAAATAAGGCAAAAACATCAGTGGTTCATATGCTAAAATTCTGAGAGTAACAAGGTACAGAAAGACAAGTTTCATTTATCGCAGAGCCATTCTACTCTTCTTTCTGGTTTTTTGTTTTTGTTTTGTGAAACACTAGCAACTTTTAATTTGACCTGTAATGATACAAAACATGGCTAGGTGAAATATATAAAATTTGAGTTTAAGGAGTATTTCCGTGACTATCTTGTCCATCCTGGGTTGTACATTTTACGAATAAAGAAACTCCTACTCAGAGATTTCTCTAAAGAAATGACCATGAGAGAGGAAAGAACTGAAACTAATAACCAGGTCTCCTGAGTCCTGTGTATCAGTGACTGACCCATCAAAATACTTAGCAGTAAGCTCTGCCCAGAGGCAGAGTTTTCAAATAATTAAAACATCGGTAAAATTTCATGCTTACAATGAACAGCCCTTTATTAATACTGGTAATACATGATATAACAGCAAGTGGCTATGAAGAATAAAATGTCTGATTCCTTTTACCTTAACTATAATAAAGAACGAACCTATCTACTTAGAAACCTATAAAATTCTACCTATACCTACCATACACACACATCTATATTGTAAGTGTGTAAAACGTATGGACATACACAAGGACTAGAAGGAAATAATGCAAGATAAAAACAGTTTGTTAGGAGAGGGGATTATGGGTGAAACATTACATTCGATGAACACTTCTTGTTTCATATATTTTGGTATATCATGTTACTGATAGGATTGACTTATTAAAAACATCCAAACTATACTACAAATATTGCTCTCAGTTTTTAAACTATCCGCTATTTTCCACCTCTGGGAATGACTCTGACTGACGATATTATTAAGATTTGCTAAGATTAAGATTAAGATTTGCTAAGTGCTCACAATGTGCACAGCACTATTGAAAATCTACAGGATCCGGTTCCTCTGCTTCGGAATCTACACAGTGAAAAACCACATTGAGGGTTGCTGTTTTCAGATTGGTGGGAGAAGAGATTATTATCAGCTTTGTTTCAGGAAACAATATTCCTGGCATATGCACTCCAGAAGAGTTGACATTTGAAGGGGCCTGAATGAGGGGGTTGTCTGGAGAAGAAAAATGAGAACTTCTTTTAGGAATGAAGGAACAGAATTTGCAAAAACTATATAGCACAAAAGGAGGAGAAGGAAACAAAGAGATGAATTTCACCTTTGATAAAAGTGGGGGATATTGAACAGGAAAGAGAAAACCAGGACAATGACGGAGACAGGGCCAGATAACTGTTGGGCCTTGTTTTTGGGGGGGGGGGACATTGAGTGGGTAGAAACTGAGAGCTGGCAAACAGGATGCCCTGAAAAATACCTGTTGAATGAATGGGAAGCCAGAGGACTATGGACTCGAAAGAATTAGGGACATCATTGAAGCACCAAATGAAAAACTGTCTAAAGCAGAATTCAGGACTAACTGGATCAGAGAGGCTGTAGGATTAGGGAAGAATAGGAGAAGCCTCAAGTAGCACTAAGAGTAAATTAGTGTATTTACTTTTTGGAGGGCTAGGTGTTCTGAGGAAAGCATGGTTTCTAGAGGTAAGCAATTCCGAAGGTCCTCTGCTATGTTCTTCAGCATAGTGTCGTTATTATCTTCAGTGAATTCATCAAAGTCTCCTGGAAAAAAAAAAAAAAAAGGAGAGAAATATCTTTTTTATGGTTTTGGTCATACCTAGGCTAAGTGAACAGAATGGCCATATTTTCCACCATCAATTATAGCATCAAATTTTTCTTTTTTTAAAAGGTTTTATTTATTTATTTGATAGAGAGAGATCACAAGTAGGCAGAGAGGCAGGCAGAGAGAGAGGAGGAAGTAGGCTCCCTGCTGAGCAGAGAGCCCTTTGCGGGGCTTGATCCCAAGACCCTGAGATCATGACCTAGGCTGAAGGCAGAGGCTTAATCCACTGAGCCACCTAGGGGCCCCATACCATCAATTTATAGCAATAAATAAACCTTTTAACCAATGAAATATGTAAATTGTAACAAATATTTCACTTCAAATATTGAGTTTTTCCTTTCCTAAACTGCTTGAAAATACAAAACTTGACTATTTCAGCCTGTTTGAGAAAAACAAAAGTACTTAAAAACTATATATATTTATATATTTATTATATATTTATATTATAAATTATATATTTATATGTGATATATATACATATATATATACTGTAATATTATATATAGTATTTTAACTATTTTTACTCAAGAACAGTACTGTCATTAGTTTGTAGGGTCTTAAACTCACCAGTAAGTAGTTAAATATTCTTTCTCTCACTATGCAGATCTGAGAAGTACAGGAAGCATCACAGAAATTACTAAAATCACTTTAATCTGAATACCCCTGATTCCAATAAAATGTACCTAAGACTCTAGATAAGCACTAACAGCTGACACCAACTATATAATAAACTTTACAATAAACATGTGGCTCTGCTGCGCTTGAGCAGCAGATAAAAAAAAGAAAGAAAGAAACATAAGGGCTATTTAAGATGACTACGGTGTACTTTTGGATGATCTGGCAAAAACGGGAGGGGGAGGCAACAGAAGGGAGCGTGTGTGTAGCAATAAAGAGGGAGGTTTGGTTGAGATTTACAGCTGCTGAATCCAGGCGAGGGTATAAAAGCGGTGTTTATTGTTTGTTGTTTCTACTTTTCTGTGTGTTTAATTTTTTTTGGCTCTAGAACAATATTATTTCTAAGGAGCTCATATGTAATTTTAAATAGAATGTGACTTATCTGAAAGTAAAATACTCCTCAAGTTAGCTACTGTCCGGGATGCCAAAGGTAGACTAGAAAGCGCTACTAATGAAAATAGTTTACCTTTCTCTTAAAACACTTTCTTATATTTTTTGCTAGCATAACAGCACCCCAAGAAGATTGTTTCTTACTCAGTTTTAATTATTTTTAAGATGATTTATTAATTTGACACAGAGAGAAAGAGGGAGTGAGCACAAGCAGGGGAAGTGGCAGGCAGGCAAAGAGAGAAGGAGAAGCAGACTCCTTGGGGAGCAAGGAGCCTGATCCGGGGCTCAATCCCAGGACCCTGGCTGGGATCATGACCGGAGCTGAAGGCAGGCACTTAACCAACTGAGTCACCCAGGCACCCCGCTTACTCTGTTTTAAAATAATTGTAGAAGGAAAACAAGGAGATCCTGAAGAAAATGTCATCTGTTTCCATATCCCCTGCCCCAAATCTTTGGTTGTTTTTAAGTAAGCTCATGATTTTGTTCTTGAACAAAATATAATTCTTGAGTTGGTGCAGAATGCGATTTTCATGTTACTAATAATGATTAAAAGTTACAAAGCAGGCCAACAGCAGCACAGGGAAATAAATGGAGGTTTTCTGCTTCTACATAAGGGTACTCTTCTTTTTAGCAATACTCCTCTGTGCCCTATATACAAAGGATCTTTCTCTGCGTAATTTCTCATTGAGCAACGGTAGTGAATACAAAGATTTGGCTCTCTGAATTGATGTGGGAAGGCCTCTGAAGCCCCCTTTTATCCCCTCGCCTATGTAGCACCATGTTCTAAACTGTTGCTTCTAATTATTTCTAGAAGGAGGCAGAATATAAATTACAGAGAAACAAAAATACTATTAAAATTTATTCCAAATTGTTTCAGGTGGAACTTAAGTGTATTTTTCAAGAAAACTGGCCTTTTTAATTGTATTTGTAAAATCTAATTAAATTTTCTCAAGGTGCTAATTAAACATTTATTTCTTTAAGTAATCTCTACACCCAACCTGGGGCTCAAACTCACGACCCTGAGATCAAGAGATGAAGCTCCTCCGACTGAGCCAGCCAGGCGCCCCACAAGGTGTTAATTAATACCTAACATGTGCTTAGTTTCCTCCCCTCTACAGATAGATAGAACACTGTCTGGGATTCTCTATGACTCACATTTAATTCTAATAATATCACTCCCACTGGTGATCCTTAGCAGGTTCTCTCAATTTGTACATGATATAACTAGAGAAGGCAATAAAAATGTCATTATGTTAAACTAAGCTATTTCCTATCCCAACTTCTTTGGACTTAATTTTTCTTTTTTTTTTTTTAAATAAGGGTTTTATTTATTTGACAGACAGAGATCACAAGTAGGCAGAGAGGCAGGCAGAGAGAGAGAGGGGGAAGCAGGCTCGCCACTGAGCAGAGAGCCCGATGCGGGGCTCGATCCCAGGACCCTGAGATCATGACCTGAGCTGAAGGCAGAGGCTTTAACCCACTGAGCCACCCAGGTGCCCCTGGACTTAATTCTGTAATATAAAAAGCCACATTAATAAAACAGTTTTGCTGTAGGTCTGCCTTAAAAAATGAGTCTTAGAGTGAGAAGGGAAATTAGATTATGATCGATTACCAAATGGCCCATCCATCTACACATCTCTGATACATCTATACTAGTTGTTTAGTCTTTGCTTGAACACATTCAGGCCGGCATTTCTCATGCAGAGCCCCAGTCTGCCCCTCCATAATGACATTAACTCATTTTTCCAGTTTCAGCCTGAGAGGAATCATCATGTTTAATGCTATACAACATTTCCCGAATGAACCCTTCAGGCCTGCTAGACTCGGTGCAGTGCTTTTCATAGGACATTTAATCCTAAGAATCCTATAGATGATACTATGATCAATTCTACTCTATAACAACAGCAACAAAAAAAACCTGATGTCAGAGGTTAAGTTACTTGCCTCAGGTCATATGGGCCAGAAAGGGGTGGAGCTGGGGTTTGAATGCAGGTCTTAGCCTCTAAAAAAAACTCTTTTTTTTTTCTTTTGAGGTTTTATTTATTATTTATTATTATTTATTTATTAAGATGCCATGTGGGGCTCGAACTCATAACCTTGAGATCAAGAGTTGCATACGTGCTCCTCTGAGCCAGTGAGGCGCCCCCTTAGTCCGAACTCTTCATCACTACACCATACAGGCTCTCTAAGGTAGCTGCCTAGTAACAGTCCTCCTACCACTACCGAAGTTTTCTTTTCTCCCCACCTTGGACCAGACAGTTCTCCACTGGATACCGCAGCCACATTCTTTGCCATTAGCTTGCTGTCTTCTGGACTTGTTCAACAGAACCCTTTAAATGGGGCTCTGCAAGCAACACTGGTGATCTGGTTCTCTCATCCATGATTACCTCAGTTTATTCTCTTCTCCTGTCACATTGTAGCATTGAGGGCCCTGAACATTACTGCTACTAGGTGATTAATAAATAGATTTGGAAGGGGTGACGGTGGCAGTGGAAGCCAATCATATGTAAATCGTATGTAAAGACTTGAACAATCATATGTAAAGACTGAGGAAACTGGAACAATGACAGACGGGAATGGCTGCAAATTCTGAACCATCACAGCAGATTTCCAGCTGTCTGAAACAGGTTTATCTGAGAGTCAATACCCAATTAATGGGAGTATCACCAGTCAAGATGAGAGATACTAAGAAACTGTATATTAAATTCAGCCATTCCAAAAAGGTAGTGTTAAATGAAGACTGCATTTGTTTCATCTCAATACCAAGGATTTTAGGTGAAAATGAGAACTGGCACCTCTTACCCTGGACAGCAAACTCCGATTTAACCACCCACACGCAAGGGTGAAAGATTTCTTCATTTACACCAATGATTCTTCACTATGGCTCCCGTCAAAGAGGATCTGCATATGGGATTTATGTGAGCTTGCAGGGCCCAGAGTTGTATGCTTGGTTGTATACATAAATATATATGCTCTTCTAGGAAGAAATTTCTTTTTTTTTTAAGATTATTTATTTATTTATTTATTTGACAGAGATCACAAGTAGGCAGAGAGGCGGGGGGAGGGGGGAAGAGCAGGCTCCCCGCTGAGCAGAGAGCCTGATGCGGGGCTCGTTCCCAGGACCCTGGGATCATGACCCAAGCCGAAGGCAGAGGCTTTAACCCACTGAGCCACCCAGGTGCCCCTAGGAAGAAAGTTCTGAAGAGATCTTCAGTAATTATAGCTAATATTACTGAGCACTGTATGTAAGGCACTGTGGAAATTTTTAGTGCAAGAAGGCTAAAATTAGCTTTACTATCTGTAGTGGTTGGCAAATAACTTCTGAAAAGAGCAGCAAAACATTTTTGCCCTAATATTGGCTGTGCAGGTCAAAAAAGCATGCTATGATAGGATATTAATGAAGTGTATAAAACTGGAATTCGTGTAACATTTTATTTATTGTTATTAAATTCCTTAAAACATTATTTCTAAAGGCTGTGCAATATTCTACCATTGTATATTTAATTAACCATTTGCTGCTCCTAATACACATTTAGATATACTAATAATCGTGAAAAATTAAGATACTACATCTGACATTTTGGCGTCCATCATCTCTTCGCATTTCTGATCATTTCCTTACCATCAATGCTCAGAAGTAGAAGTACTTAAACATTTTTTAAAGACTCTTGCTACATATTGTCAAATTTCTTCCCTGAAAGAGTATACCCACTTACTTTAAGAGAAAAGAATACGGGTCTCATTAAACCCTGGCAGCACTAAATGTTACCATAAAAAAACAAACTCTGTTGCTTTAATTTGCATTTCTTTAATTACTGGTGAGGCTGACATCTTTTAACATTGTAATAGCTATTTCAGAATGTGTGGTAACAGT